TCACTCTCTGGCCTTCAGCGGGTAGGCGCCCTTCTTCATCATCAATCTGGCGCCCCGCTCGATCACGTCGGACGGTAGCGCGGCACGAGCAGCCACCAGAGCGTGTGTCTTCATGTACCTGAGCACGCTTTTCTCGCTCGCCCATCGCCCGCGCCGCTGAATGGCCCACACCGTCCTGTAGCCGGTCGCCGCGTCGTGGCTCGGCCCCGAGTGCCTGGCGACGTGCGGCGGGAAGCGCTCGACGCCGACGTCGTCGCAGGCCCACCTCAGGGCACGGCGGTAGGCGTCCACCGAGCAGGCGAAGACCCCGTCCGCCGGCGCCCTCTCGGCCTTCCTCCGCACGAGCATGTCGGCCACGTGCGCGCGGTCGATCAGCACGCCCTGCCTCATGCCCGTCTTCGTCCGCTCGCCGCGCTCGGGCACTACGAGCCGAGGGGCCACGACCTGCTCGCCCGCCGGGTCGACGTCGATCACGACGTCAGCAGCTCGCAGGCCGAACAGCTCCGCGGACCTGAGGTAGGCGTCGAGGGCGACTTCGGCGGCATCGGCAGCCTCCTGGTTCCCGGCCAACCTCATGGCCTCGTCCAGCACGGCCCACAACTCGAGCAGTTGCGGCCCACCTTCTCCTGCCACGTGTAGTCGGTGCAAGGCACGCAGGGCTCGATTTGACCTCGGCAGTCCCGACGACAGCTCTGGCCACACGTAGGCGAGCCCATGCACCACAAAGTCACCCCGATGCGGGCCCACCTCGTCCTCCACCAGGCAGTCCAGGTAGCATAGATCCGAGTCGTCAATCTCCTCCCGGTTCATCATCGGCAGGTTCCACTCCAGGGCGAAGTCCAAGAAACGCCGTACGTTGGGCACGTAGCAACTTAGCGCTGTCTTGGTGGAGACCGAGAACGGGAGCAGGGCGAGTCCTCGGGTCGGCCCCTCCTGCCACAGCATTCCCGAGGACTTCACACGCTCCGAATCGTTCCTACGATGCGTGTTACCCATCTTGCGGTGCTGAGCGTGTTGACGACCTCTCTCCTCTGCTACCGCGCCCGCCTGCACTGGCAGCGCAATCCAGATCACGAGCATCCGCCACACCGAGCACGCAGTACAGCGCCCAGGTCCTCCCGACGCGGCCGGCCTCGCACCGCCACGATCGGCGGACGCAAGCCGAAGGGGCCTGCAGCCCCCGAGACACGCGCCCAACGAAGAGGCAGTACTCGTCCACCCAGCACCTGACCCCGAACTCCTTCTGCACGTGCCAGAGCCCTCTTCGAGGGCTCCTTCGGCCCGAGGGGTGGCTAGCTCGATCGCCCTGCAGCCTCGAGGAACGACGTCGGCAGCGCCTCCAGCGAAGACAGGTCCCGGCGCCTGCGGTCCAGGGTCTCCAAGATCAGCTGCTCCTACGCCCACTCGGTCAGGTCGGCCTCCCGTCTCTCCTGCATGGCCAGCTTCGCATCCACGTGGCACTCCGCCAGCATGCGGCAGAACTCCGACGGGTAGGCCTGCGACGCTCTCGTCCGAAAACGGCCGCTGGCGTCCTTCCCACAGAGGCTCGCGCCGCGCCGCGAGTGCTCGCATGGGCGCTCGAACCGCTGCATCGCACAGGCCGTTCCCGCGAGCGTCGACATCTTGAGCGCCGGACAGCCCCACATGCACTGCGGGAAGGTCACCCATCCAACCTCGGCCCCCCAGTCCGTCAGATCCTTCGTGATAAAGATCGACGGGGAGGGCGGACAGCTGGGGTCGGCAGGGCGCTCGACCGATATGGAGCCCCCCTCGAGGGCAATGGGCTTCAGGATCCTCAGGCTGTTCAACAACTGCGCGTTCCCAAGCTCCACCTTCCTCGCGTCGTCTCCCCGCAGACCCGGTCGACCCCGAAGCTGATGCCGTAGGTGAAGCGGCGGGTGACCTCCAGGCTGGAATCGCACATGCGACCAGGTAGAACAAGAGGGGCCAGAATGCCCGCCGTCGGTCTCCATTTCCGCCAGCAGCTCCAGCCTCCTCACGTTGACCTTGTCTGTTAGGTCGAACTTCGCCAGGTAGCCCCGCAACGCCGCGATCCTGAGCAGCCAGTCCTCCAGGCCCCCCGCCCGCGTGTGCCCGCTGCAGAGGTGGACGAAGCGCAGCGCCGTAACCGGGACCGAGACCTCGATCCTGAGCGGCTGGAACGGGCCCAACTGAGCGATGTCGGCCAGCGCTTCGATATTCAGCGCCACCTCTGGCAACACCTGCTCGTCCGTCTCCCGCTCATTCGGGGTCTGGCTGATAGGAAACCCATGCTCGGCCCATCGCTGCGGTTGCGATCGGAAGGCGCCCAACGCCAGTACTCGCGCATGCCGCGGCCGAGGTCGAGGGCAGCCACCCTGCGGCAGAGAATAAGGATCGGACGACTCGCGGACCTGCCCTTGCTGAAGCCGCCGAGGCAAACCATCGAGTCCGTGATCCACAAGTGCCTCTTCCACCAGCTCGCCCGACTGCGAGCTGAATGCCTCGCCGCTGCCACGCCGGCGCGCATCTCCAGCAAGTTGATGCGCTCCTTCTCCTCCCAGCGCCAGCGCGCCGCCTCCCTCCATCGGGCGACGTCGTCCCAGCACTCGTGCACAGGCGGAATTCGAACGCGCGTGCCCAACTCCACGTCGTCGCCCACGCGCCTGAACGCCTCGCCCTCGCACCAGGAATCCGCAACCCACGAAGGGGAGATGCCAGTCCACGCCGCCCAGCCTCCTCGCACAGCGCACCGAGCTTCTCGACGCTGCTCCCCCACCGTACTCGAGGTGGCAATGATGGCCCCTCCGTGCAGACTGGCATCGAACATCATCACGGTGGGGTCCCAGGGCATCGCCAAGTCGACCGCGATCAGAGGGACGACAGCCGCCGTGGCTGCCAGCTCTCTCAGCACCTCCCGCGGCGCCTCGCGCCTGGGCCCACCGCGAAACTCCATGCACCACGAGTGGACCTCCGAAAAAATATTCAGCGCCCCTCGGCAGATCAAGAACCCCCAGGACATGATGCCCACGATCCGCGCGATCACGTCGGGCAACTCCCACTTGCGGGTCAGGGTCTCCTGGATGCCGAGGACTGCGAGCCACATCCTGTCCTGGTTCGAGGCCAACCAGGCACCCTCGAAGTCGCCCCCGATCATGCGAGCTGCTGAGGAGCACGCATCCTTGTGAACCTTGAAGCCCGCAGCCATCACCAGTTCCCTGGCCCCCAGCCAGATCTCCTCCACCGTCGCAACCTCCTGGGATCCAGCCGCGCAGGGTAGTCCCGCCCGATGAAGCCGAAGTCGTCGATGTACTCGTAGTGAGCCGCGGGCGCCTCCCGGCTGAACTGGGACAGAGGACCGCCCTCGGCGAGACGCTGACCCTCCGACAGCGACGGCAACCCAGCCTGCGGCCCCGCGTTGAAGATGTCCTCCATCGTCGTCTGAGCCATCCAGCACGCCCACGAGAAGCCCATGAGAGCCACCTTCTCCCCGGCGTAGGCGCCGCTTCCAGGCGACCGCGAGCCATCGGGCAGCACCGCGTCGAGCTCGTCCCCCGAAACGCCCTGCAGCACGAAGTAGGGGGCGATCTCCTCTCCCAGCTTCAGCGCGTAGTAGAAGTCGGGCAGGTCGCCCGTGCAAGAGCGCATGGTCACCCTGCCCTCCTTCATCTCTTCCGACACGTCCAGGAACGACATCGCACTCACCCCGCCCATCGCACACCACGGTGGAGCCCGTTACCGCGTGTTGGAGCACCTCTGGTCGAACACCAGGCGGAGCGTCACCTCCGGCTCCTCGTTGACCAGCTCGGCCTTCTTCGCCACGCAGAACAGCCCGGCCTCGTCTACCTTTTCGGGCGTACGACACAGCATTCCCGCCAGGGCCATCCTTCGCGATAGCTGCAGCATCTCCCTCTTCTTCCGGAAGCGATGGTCCACGTAGTTGCGCAACTCGTGCGTCGCCATCCTCCTTCGGCATCTCCTCCCGAAGCTTCTCCAATTTCTGTGCCATACGAGGCGACGCAGACCTCGCACTCGCAGGTCTGGTCCCGGGGGGAGGTAGAGCGACCCTATCCCATTGGGCGGGGAACGTCTCGCCCCTGTCTGGCAGCTGCACACTCCAGCCAGCGTTCCTCCTCCGAAGTTCGGGCAACCTCTGCTTGAAGGTTGACTGGAACTGACTGCCCGCCGCCGAGGCGGCAGGGCGCAGCCACAGTATCGCGGTTCCTTGACCAGGCGTCGTCGGCGGCGGTTGCTGGCGACGAACCTCCCCAAGCACCCGCCGAGAGAGGTCCCCGTCCAGGTTGTCGGGCATCGCCCCCTGTCCTCAGCGCTCGACCAGCTCCAGAAGACTGTCGTCCAAGCTCCCGCGGTAGAGTTGACGCAGCGCCAAGAGAGTGCGGCTGGCCCGCCCAAGGGTCTCCACTTCCTCCTTCCATCGCGACAATACCCGAGGAGACGTCGAGCTCGGGCGCTCCGGACGCGAGAACAACACCACCTCGGACAGGACGTCGCGCCGCCGAGACATGGAAAACCCAATTCGTCGTGCACTGGCTCACGTGGCAGCCGACGAAGATGTCACCCGTCAGCTGCAGCAGAAAAAGTAGAGGCAACAAAAGACGCCGACGCAGTGCACGATCACCACGCCAGCTGCAAGGGCCAGCCAACGCGAAGCTGAGCAACCCCAGTTGAAGCTCCTTGGTCGTCACGGCGGGGCCACCGAGCCCCCGTCCAGGTCGGCCCGCGCCTTCAGCAGCTGCGCGTCCCGGCCCATGGCCTTCTTCACCTCCTTCTCGGCATTCATCACCCGAATCGTGCTCTCGTCCGCCAGCTGAGGATCCAGCCGTCGAGCCGCCTCCCAGTCCACCTTCGACTTCCAGCCCTTGGCGTCCTTGGGGCGGCTCCAGTCGTCGCGGCTCTGCACGTTGCAGCACGCTCGCACGATGGCGCACCCCTTGCGCACCAGCCGCTCGAAGCTCACCAGATTGAGCAGCACCTTCCTTCTGGCGACCGTCATCAGAGAGAACGCGTTTCACGGGCGCTTGCCTTGGGAACATTCGGCGGCGCGTTTCAAAGCGGGGGGTGGCCCCCCAAAAAAAAACATTCGGCGCCGTCAATCAAAACCAGGGGGACTCCCCTCCCCCCCAAACCACCCCCTCCCGAAACCCCTCCCCCCCCCTCCCTCGGCGCCGGCGCTGGCGTTGGCGGCCACCAGCAGCGCCCACGGCGGGGACGCAGCGACCATGACCAGAGGCAGCCCAGGGGGGGGGGGTTCAAACCTCCCCCTCCCCCCCCTCTCCCAAGGCCCCCCCCCCCCTCGGCGCCGGCGCTGGCGGCGCCCAGCAGCGCGGGCGCTGGCGCGCCGGCGACGGCGGGGACGCAGCGACGATTACCACCAGTACCACCACCACCACACCACCACCACCACCGCCTCAACCCACCACCAACACAACACCAACACCAACAGCACCACACCACGCTCACCACCACAGCCACCACCACCACCACCACAACCACCACCGCAACTCACCATCACCAACACCACCACACAAAAACCCATCATCACTACCACCACCACCACCACAATCTACCACACCACCACCACCGCCACAACCACCACTTCTACCAGCAGTACAACCCACCGCCACCACCACGAACCACCACACCACAACCCACCACCACCACCACCACCACCACCACAACAAACGTTCACAAATCACCGCCACCACCACAAACCACCACCACCACCACACCAACACCACACCACCACAATCACCACCACCACCACCACAACTCACCATCACCACAACCACCACAAAAACCCACCACCACTACCACCACCACCACAATCTACCGCACCACCACCACCACCACCACAGCCACAACCACCACCACTACCAGCAGCACAACCCACCACCACCACCACAAACCACCACACCACCACAACCACCACCGTCACCACCACCACCACAAGTACACCTCCACAAACCACCGCCACAACCACAACCCGCCACCACCACCACCACAAAACACCACCACACGACCACCAAACCACCACCACCACACCACCACCAAACCACCACCACCCACCACCACCACCACCACCACCACCACAATTTATCACACCACCACCACCGCCACAACCACCACCACTACCAGCAGCACACACCACCACAAACCACCACACCACCACCACCACCACAACCGCCACCACCACCTCCACAAGCACCACCTCCACAAACCACCGCCACAACCACAACCCACCACCACCACCACCACAAACCACCACCACACTACCACCAAACCACCACCACCACCACCACCACACCACCACCACAACCACCACACCACCACCAAATCACCACCACCACCACCCACCGCCACAACCACCACAACCACAACAAACCACCACACCACCACCACCGCAACTACCACCACCGCCACCACCACCACCACCACAACCCACCACCACCACCACCACCACCACCACCGTCGTCCTCGTCGACGCTCCCCGCCACCGCCGCCCGCCGCCGCAGGCGCCGGCGCCGGCCAAGAAATGGAAATCATCGTCCCCGCCGCCGTCGCCAGCCGCCGCCGACCCAAGCGCAGCGCCGGCCCGAGGAGAGGTGAAGCAGGGGGGGTTCGAACCCCCCCCACCCGTCACGAGAGGGGGGGGAAGGTTCGACCCCCCCCCCTCCGTCACGGCAGGGGGCGGGGGGCGGGGGGCGAAAATCCGCCCCCCCTCCAAGCGACCACAGAACGCGCTCTTTCCGTCAGCAGCATCGTGTCCACCGCCGCGAACGCCGCGATCATCTCTCGAGCCGTGTTGCACTCCGTGAACCTACGATCCCGGACGAAGTCCCGCGCCCACGCCTCCGCCGTCTTCCCCGAGGAGTAGATCTCCGACAGCACCTCCGCGGAGATCCGCTGACGATACCCCTCGGGCATCCGACTGTTCCACTCATCGGCGGGGATCTCCCGATAGTCTTCCAACTGCACAATGAACACTTGCTGCGGCAGCTGAGCCTTGAACCGCATCCGCTTGACGTCTTGGCTGGCGAGCCCACAGTCGCACCACCCGACGACGCAGCGCCTGACCCCTCGATAGCAGCTACCCGCTCTCCGACCCCCCCCTCGAGTGGAGCCTCCCCATTCAGGCGGGCCTCGAACTTGTCCAGACGAGCGATCATGCATTCGATCACCTGACGATCGGTCTCCTCCACAGCACGATCCTTCGACTCGACGGATGACTTCAGATCGTCTCGACGCAACTCCCTGGTCCGCTCCGCCGTCCTCATCTCGCTGATATCATCCATCATGGCATTCTGGGGCTCCGCGAGGTCACTCAGCTGTGCGACCAAGGCCGCGCCCACAGAAGAAGGCTGCGAGGGTGACGACAAAGGCGGCGGCCTGGACGAAGCGTGACCGACGGATACGTCCACGCTCGAGGCCGACGATGATCCGATCGAAGACTCTCCCGGCTCCGCGTGGTCGGACCATTCGAGCGCAGCCCGTGAGGAGCACCATCGCGACGATCATGGCCAGCCACCGTTGTAGGGGCATCAGCTTCTGAGCCCACTCCTTCCACTCCACGAGGTAGCTCAGCCACTCATGCACGTCTTCCGAGCTCTCCACGAAGGCATCCTTCGCCGCGACCAGGTAACCCACGAGAGCTCCTTCATGTACTCGATCACCCCAAGCAGAGCCAGCGGTTCGTACAACACGAACAAGGCGGCCAACACACCCAGGAATCGCTTCGGATTCCTCAAAGACCACCTCAAAGTCTTGAGAGAAGACGCCCCCGAGCTGAACAGAGCGCACAGCACGTTCATCGCGATAGCCTGCTGGCCAGCACGACCCGGACGGTAGAGCGGAAGAGTCGGGACCGTCCCCGTGCGCACCCCTTTCCGTCGCCTGCTGGAGGTAGGCGTCGCGCTTGGACGCACTCAGCGGTGGCATAGGCCTCCAGCGAGTCCCCGCCAATGGGTCCGCGAAGATGGATGCATTCGCGGTGATGCAGATCAGCCCGAGCCCCAGGTCGGGGGTGAGGACCACCCAAATGTTGCCGCTCTTCCGCCTAACCAGCTGCACTTCGACTCCGTCGGTCGCCGTCTGGCGATAGAACCTGCGCAACCATGGCTCCACTGGCATTTGAGCCTCGATCACTTCCAGCTCCTCTCCTCCCTCCTGATCCACGATCGGGTCGTTCACCAGGGCGAAGAGCGACCAGAGCAGCAGCCCGAGCGAGCCGCAATTGAGACGCGCCGTCTCGCGGGGTGCCCTCTGGCGCGCAGCCCCGCAGGTCGAGCGCGCAGCCCTCGCAGCAGGAGCCACACTCGATCAGCTCCCACGAGGAGCCCGTCGAGCAACTCGAATGGCCAGAGGCGCTGCCGCGCGGAGAGCCGATGAAGAAAACCGCGGGCTCGGTCGCGGGACTCCCCGCGAGCATGCTCGAGCCAAAGAACTTGAGCGGAGAACGCAAAACAATAACACGTTATCTCTAGGACGGCCCCACCTCACTTTGCACCGCCCCCGCCCCTCCCCCCCCAAACGACCGATAGGAAGGCGGGGGAGGGGGAAGGTGAGAGGACCAGGGCCCGAAAAAGTCATTGTAATCTACAGCACACACACACACCAATCGCCCATTCATCGCCGACAGGTGCCCGATAGCCCACCCCGCCCAGGACGGCGCGGTTTCGATATCGGCGAGAGCGTCATCCACCGCCGCTTTGCTGCGGAAAATTGTCCCCCCTCTTCCTGTGGACCCCCCCCTCCCCCGGCAAGAGTCCCCCCCCCCAGAAAACCGCCCACCCTCCCGGCTCTCCCCACTCGCAGCTGGCAAACGACTCCCGGGTCCCACCACCGTCCTCACCACCGCGCTCACCATTGTCCCCCCCACCACCGCCCCCACAACTGTCCCACTGCCCCCACTGTCCCCACCACTGTCCCCACCAGTGCCCCCACCACTGTCCTCACCACTGTCCCCACCACGGTCCCACTCTCCCCACTGTCCACTGTCCCACTGTCCTCGCTTCCCACCACCATCCCCGCCACCGTCCCAACCATTGTCCCCATCGGAGTCCCCCATGCGCAGTGGGGGAGGAGGGGGAGTCGTTTGCCAGCGGGGAGGAGGGTGGAGGGGGGAGGGGTCGAGTCGGTAGTCACCCCCCTCCTTATTCATGGTGGACGGGGCAGGGGGGGTCCGGAACCCCCAGTGACCCCCCCTGTTTTCGAGGGGGGGGGGGACGGGGACGGGTTTAAAATCCCAAGTGCCCGCCCCTGGTTTCCTGCCAGCAGCGGCAGAGCATGCTATTTCCGATATCGGGGACCTCTCGCCGAAGTATCGGCGATGTATAGGCGATTCAGGCTCGATCCTTCCCCCACCCGCTGGTCCCTCCTCACGTTCCCACGCTCAGGGTGTCCAAGTGTCAATGGCCCACGGTGCCCCAGGTCTCTCGTTCCATTTTGGAGCCCCTGATGCCCTAAGGGCTCGTGAGGGGTGCTCTGGAGGCCGCGGGGGCCTCCTTGGAAAGCCCGGGGCCGCCTTGGGCCGGGCGCACTTCTAGCGGCACCCCTGGGGGCCGCCTTGGGCCGGGGCCCGGCCGCCTCGGGGCTCCGCGCGGACCTCCTGGGTCCGCGCGGGAGCCCCGAGGCGGCGCCTCTGCCCTCGCCCTCGTCGCGCCCTGCGCGCCAGGGGCGGGGGGCCCAGCGCCGATCCAAGAGGCCCGCGCGGACCTCGGAAGGTTGGTCTTCATGTCGGTCGTCCTTCTGCTGCCAGTGGCGCTCTGTATGTACGGCGCAGGAGGTCGAAGAATGGCAAGCGGCATGAACACAGCTGGTCGGCGGCCCGCGCGGACCTCCGAATGTTTGTTCTTGTGTCGGTTGTTCCGATCCTGCCAGTGGCTCTTTCTACAGGGCAGCATAACCACACAGTGATCACCCCATGCAAGCGTGGCCCTCTGGGCAAACGAAGCCGAGCAAGTTTACAGCATATACGCCTAATCTGCTACCTGGAAGGCCGATCGCCGGCGGATCTGGGACCTCCCACGCGTCGTCCATGTTTCAGGAGGAGAAAAAACACACAGACACAATTAATCGTCGAGCCCCAGGAAAATATAGGAAAATATGGGAAGTTGGGGGGAAGACAAAAACCCAGAAAACATGGGAAAATATGGGGAATCGGTTTATTTGTGTGTGTTAATTTGTGTGTCCTGGGGCCCCTTCAATGTTGCAAAATGTGTGGCAGGAATTCGATGGGGCGCACCTCCCGCGCGAGATGCCAGAGTGCCGTTCTCGCCTTGGCGCCGCGACCACTCTGCCAGAACGTGAAGTTCCCGCGGGGGGCGCGGCGAACATTTTTCGCACGCCGCTTCGTCGACGCGCGAGCGGTCGAAAGTGTCGCGTTCGCCCTGGTGCCGAGCAGACTTCGCCCGACAGCGGCGCGCCCGCCCGGGCGCCGCGCGTGTTTTTCACCCGCGGTAGGAGCCGCGCGCGAGCGGGCGACCTGTTGCCCCCGCTTACGCTCCGTGCGCATTTCACCGGGAAGCGGCGTCCCCGCGCGGGCGGATGGTTCGTTCGCCGAATCACGCGAAGGCGACAAGGGTGGCGGGGCCGCGCAGGAGCCGAGATGCCGACCTCGCCCAAGCGCCGCGCAGCTTGTGAGAGAACGGTGGCAGTGTCGTGTCGGCGCGGCGCATGCTTCGTCTTCGCCGCACGCATGGGAAGTTTTGTCGCTCCTGCCCCTGCGCGACCCGCGTAATGTTTCCCTCCGCCGAGTGGTCGGAGCGCCTTCCGTTCGCTAGGTGGGAATGCGTTCCAATCCCAATGCCAAGTCGTGCCACAATTCGTTCTTACATTATGGGAAGCAGGGTGGAAATACGCGGGGCCCTCTAACTCGCTCGATTTGGCTACCTTGGCAGTAGGACCTGCGGTGAGCGCACACAAAAACATTGTAGGATTCCCATGGACCACAACTTCAATGCGCCAGAAGCCACACTGTAGGATGCTCGGTCTAGACAGGCCGTGTGTACGTAAATTGTAGGTTCAGAAGGGGTATGTGTGCACCTACTGTCGAGCGCCCCGTGTGTGACATCATCGGCGTTGCGTTTCCCGAACTTGTTGCCTTGTTTCTGCCATGGTATGGAGCACAAGAAGCGAGCGTGGGATGTTCTCGAGCTTATTTGGCCCAGTCTGGTTTCGTTCGTCGTGTATTCAAGCTGATGCCACACATTTATCTCAATTCCAATCGAGGCATATTACACAGTGGAGCGTGTGGATGTGTGATCTCCGCGCTTTGAATATTCGCCCGCTTGGTCATCTGACCCGATTGCGATATACTTCCCCCGGTCGCTCCCTCTTCCCCTCCTCCTCATCCTCCTCCTCCTGCTCCTCCTTCTCCTCCTCATCCTCTTTCTCCTCCCTCCTCCTTCTCCTCACCCTCCTCCTCCTCCTCCTCCTCCTCCTCCTCCTCCTCCTCCTCCTCCTCCTCCTCCTCCTCCTCCTCCTCGTCCTCTTCTTCCTCCTCCTCCTCCTCCTCGTCCGTAGCCATTTTGGCTCATGGCTCTGCCGGCCCCCATAGCCGCGGGCTTGACCAGCGCGCGCGGGGGCGGCACCATGGCGCGGGAGCCCTTCGAGGGGCCGCCGCGGCTCGGGATGATGCTGACCGGTTGGTGAAGCGCCTCATGAAGGAGATCGAGGCGCTCAAGGAGCAGGCGGCGGCGGCTGAGCAGGCCATCGACGCTGTTGTCGGAGATGATGAGGTTGTGGTGCGGGCACGTGCGATGTTACCCGCGGTCATGGACATCGTGGCTGGCCGCCCATCACGGTGGATCGATCGGATCCGCCGTAACGTGGCCTTGTACGCCGAGGCCCAGGGCATCGACATCCTAAAGGCGAGCAGCCGTGAGCTACGAGGTGCTCAAGGTGGAATTCGGTTGGAAGCGCGACAGTTCGAGAAGAAGGCTTGGGGCATCCAGATGCGTGCCGAGGCACCGCCCTTCGTCCCGAGCGGCAGGGTCTGGAGTCTGGAGCCCCCTCGGACGCCGCTGCACGCGCGGGGCTATCGTTCACTCCTCCTACGACGGGCCGCCACCAAACCGCTGCCTCCAGGAGGCGGCGGCCTGCCACAAGGGCCTCAAGGAGCAGGGGCCGATCATCGCGCCTCTGGGTCCTTTTGCAGGGCACCACCCTGCCGCAGCTGAGGGCGCTGTGGGTGGCGTGGGTGGTCCTGGAGGTCGCGCTGCGCTGCCCTTTCACCTGAAGCTGTCTTTCCTGGTGAGTCGGGGGCCGAGGCCCTGAAGGTCTTGGATGAGATGCACCGTCAGGCCGTGCCCCTCCTTTCTTGCGAGTCGCAACGCCGCGGCTCGGCCATTTGTGCGACGCAGGGCCGTTGTCGACCACATCAAGGAGGTAGAGGACCAGCTGAAGCAGTGGGAGCGTCTCGGAGAGCCTGGACAGAGTAGAGCGCAGGTTTTTGCGAGGCGCCGCCACGAGTTTCCTGGATGCCCAGGTGAGCCTCGCCATGCCGATGAGTATTGTATTGTATTTCTGAACAGCACGGTTCTGTACCCCAACGCCTTCCGTTTGGGTTTCTTCCGAACAGCTGTTGCCCCCCCCCCCCCCCCGATTTTCAAACCGATGGAGATCCTCGGAGGGGGCACCGTCGGAAGCGGTAGAAGCGGCGGATGCCTTAGCGGGGGGTGGGGTGGAGAGATTGTGAGAGGCGGGAGGATTCGATGTTGCATAGCTGTGCCGCCTTGTTGTTACACAGTGCCGTTGTTCTTTGTTGCATTTGGACCCGCGGCGTTTCGTAGCCCCTTTTCTCCGGTCGTGACCCTCCGCTCGTTTGTCTGTGGTTCTTGGGGCCCGTCCTTCGCTCTCCTTCGCCCATTCGGGCCCTCGCCGTTCGTCGGGTTTGCAGGGGGCAGAGGCGAGTCGTCTGCCCGCGTCGAAATAAAACTCCTCCTCCTCCTCCTCCTCCTCCTCCTCCTCCTCCTCCTCCTCCTCCTCCTCCTCCTCCTCCTCCTCCTCCTCCTCCTCGCAATGTCGGCCCTGGATCTCTTCGAGGGCAAGTTTTGACCAGACGTTCGAAGGGAATCCAGCCGCGGCGACGAGATGGACGACCAACGCCAAAACACCTCCATCCTCGCTCCTCCTCCTCCTCCTCCTCCTCCTTCTCCTCCTCCTCCTCCTCCTCCTCCTCCTTATCGTCTTCTCCATTTCTCCCCCGTACAAGGAGGGAGGGGGGCGCCGCCAGGCCGATGACGAGATCGAGATGGCGCAGGACGCGCAGAAGGAGGCCGAAGAGAGGCCCCCGCAGCGGACACTAGCGCGAAGGGGCGGGATTCTTGCTTCGGGCCCCCGCGCAACCAACCTCTGTTTTTCATGTTCTTGTCTTAGCGTGGACGCCCAGAGGCCCAGACCCCCCCTTCTTCGGGACCCTCGAAGTCTCTGCGGAGAACCGGATGAAGCTCGCCCCTTCGTGCTTGAGCCGTTTGCAGCGTCCAGGCCGCAGTCCCTGACCCAGACCGCAGGGGAAGTAACCTTCAGATGGCCGTTCACGGCTGCACCCGATGTCTAGATGTGTATATATACAGGTATATATTTAAATGCACATATAGACGTACATATAAAACTGTGTGTATAAATTTTTATATATATATATATATATATAGATAGATAGATAGATAGATAGATTATGTACATACATACAAACATACATACAAACAAACATACCATGGAAATCAGAGGACCAGACGCAATTGCGCCCCTCCCTTGCCGCTGCAGCCTGCACAAGGCCGCTGGCCCTCAAAGAAAGCGAGGAAGGGCCCCGCGACCCAGCCGCCCAGCGCCGCAGGCGCATACGATCCAAGATCTTGTCCTAATCCGCGCAGGACCCGTGCGCACCGTACCGCGCCGGCGCCTCCCGAGGCATCGTCGGTCTTCGGTCCAGGAATGGTACGGTGCACGGTTTGTTGGCCCTCAGGGCCAGAACCTTGTGCGCCGTACCGCGTTTGAGCGGAGCTCGAAGGGAGTCGAAACATGTTACGTTGCATGGGCCCCGCTCCCGCGTGAAAGAAATCAAGGGGCACATCCTTCGTCGACCCTGCGCTTCGTGAGGTGCCCCAGGGCTCTGCGGACCCATCCGGAGATCAGAAAAAAGTCGCGGGGCACCCGTTGGCAGGACGGTTTCTTTTTATGTGGTGCGCCCACGGTATAGCGCCGTGGCGTGTCTGACAAAGCCTTGCGCCCTTCCACGGTTTCGGCTCTCGGGCTATGTTTCCGGGTTCCAGGGGCGAGTCTGAAAATTGCCCGCGACAGGGGAGTCGACAGTGTTTGAGTCTTTCATGGATCGGAAAAATTCTGGGGGCTCATGAAGTAAGAGTATCTTGCCGAAGGGCCCAACCACCTGCAGTTGTGAGCAACGCAATTGTTGGTATCATCTTCGGTGGAGCTCCTGATGGGGCGCGAAACGTGTGAGGGGTGTCCCGAATTGGGCGCGGTGGTGTCATGCGAGCGCAGCCTCTGGGGCCTTCGGTGGAGCTTTTTATGAGGCCACGAAACGTGTGAGGGGTGTGTCGAAATCGGTGCGGTGGTGCCATGCGAGCGCAGACTCTGGGGTTTTCGGTGGAGCTCCCTATGGGGCCACGAAACGTATGAGGGATGTGCCGAAAAGGTCGGAAGTGTCATGCGAGCGCAGCCACTGGGGCCTTCGGTGGGGCTCCCTATGGGGCCACGAAACGTGTGAGGGGTGTGCCGAAATGGGTGTGGTGGTGCCATGCGAGCGCAGCCACTGGGGCCTTCGGTGGAGCTTTTTATGAGGCCACGAAGCGTGTGAGAGGTGTACCGACATGGGTGCGGTAATGTCATGCGAGCGCAGCCACTGGGGCCTTCGGTGGGGCTCCCTATGGGGCCACGAAACGTATGAGGGATGTGCCGAAAAGGTCGGAGGTGTCATGCGAGCGCAGCCTCTGGGGTTTTCGGTGGAGCACCATATGGGGCCACGAAACGTGTGAGAGGCGTGCCGAGCGGAGGGCATAGACGAGGAGGGGAAGGAGGGAGGAGGGGGAGAAGGGAGGAGGAGGAGGAGGGGGAGACGCGGGGCGCTGTCTCTTCAAAACGAGGACCCAACACCACAGGATGGTTGGGAACAAATCACAACGTCGGAGGTCTGGGCTATTGAAGTGTTTTGTTACCCCCCCTCTCCAGGGGGCAGATCGACGGAATGCGCGGAGATGTCGGGGACGGAGATTCAAGAGGGGGGATGGAGCGTCAAGCGCACTCAAGGCGCCGCAGGTTTTACGCGAAAGCCCGAGCGGGCGGATACGATGGGACTTCCCCGTGGGGGCCACGGACCGCCGCCCCACGGCTTGCGCACGTGCTGTGGGCCTCCACGGATCATCTAGGCGGCCTCTTTGGGTCGTTTCGGGGCCTCGTGCAGCCGCGCGCGGGAGGGAATGAGCCAGAGAAGGTGACGCCAGAGACGCGAACATAAGCGCTTCGAGCCAGCTGGCCATCGAGGTCGATGGAGGACCGAGCTTCGAGGGTCTATGTTTGGAGGTTTCTGGCCCTCTGGAGGCCCCCGGAGAATCGGTTCGGGGCGATCCGCATTCGTGCTCTACGGTGCATTCTTTGACCCGCTTCCTGATCCAATGGGGACGAGGAGGAGGACTCTAGCAGAGGATTCTGAAAGAGCGGTTCCACCGCAAGCTGACCCTGAGAAACCTTGATTGAGAGCTGACGCCAACGATCGACGCTGCTGGGGAACTCTGAAACTGCGCGGAGAAGCCTCCCCCAAGGAGCCAGTCGGCCGCCTCCTCCTCCGGGTCCAGAGGCGCAGCCCTTCGCTCACGGACAAAACACCGCCGGCGGTTCCAGGGCCAGGGAGCGGACCGCCCGAGTTCACAGGCTCCCCAGAGCCCGACACCTCCCCAGGGCCAAAGGAACTGAAGCAACTCCTCACGATCCAGGAAGCACTGAATTACCTCCTCATCCCTCCTGCTCTGGGGGGCCTTTCCCGTCTTGGGTAGAGCCCCTTCGCTATCCTGGCCAGGCTTAGGCGTGCTGCCAGGGCAGGGCCTGCGGAGGTGCCCTGAAATCTACCGTCGCAGATTGGCCACACTCGTGGCAGAGGTGGAGAGACCAGGCCCCCCGCCATCCTGGTACGTGCGACTCGTGGACAGACTCGGCTGCGCCCTGCTGCACCTCCTCCTGCGCTCTCGCTCTGGAGGCCCTCGCCTCCACCACTCTCGGCAAAGGGGGAGGCACGCATGGGTGGCACAGAACTCGAGGAGGGAGGAGGCGTGAACGAGCTGGAGACACACACACACACACACACACCCATAGTGGGCCCTGGAAACGACAGGGCCGTTTTGTTACCGGTTCCGTTTTGCCGTTTTCGTTGCCAGTTCCGACGCCGTTTTTGCACCGGTTCCGTCCCCGTTTTTTGACCGGTTCCGGCTCCGGCTCCAATCCTGGAGCCGTTTTTTTGCCATTCCCGGTCGCCGTTTTTTTGTCGTTTCCAATTTCGAGGGACATGTTTCGGGAAACGGTGAAAAAATCGGCCCTGCCGTTTCCGGGGCTCACAGAGACACACGCACACACACACACACACACACACCGCACTGCCACTTCGGGCCGACTACTCGGAACGCATGCTCTGAACGGGCGATGGCCTCCTGCCTCACCGTCGGCCGCAGAGCTGTGGCAGCTCGCTCGACTCGCTCGGCAAGCTCGGCATCGGCCTCGAGAGACAGCTGGAGGACCAGGCGCGCTCGGCGTCTCACGAGGGCAGCCGTCGCGCCCCAGAGATCGCCATGCGCCGCCTCGCGCGCGACCCATCCCTCCCACGCCAGCTCCGCCCCAGTCCCCCGCCCCCACGTCCGCGACAGCGTTGCCTGCCGCAAGGAAGCGGCCTCTGGGGGTGGCCAGCGTCTCTGCCTCTCGCTCAGCATGCGAAGGGGCCCACTCGAGCTCGACCTCTCCTTCGCCCCTGCTCTGCAGGGCCACGCGAATTCTTTGCCACAGGTCCTCGCTGGGACCACCCGTGATTTTGCAGGAGCGCCGCGGCCAGGCCCTCAGGAGAGCTCGGTGACTGGTCACAAACAACAGCGCGCCCGACGCGCCCTCGAGGGCCATGGCCAGAACCAAGGTTTCGGCGCGCGGGACCGACTGGAGGGCCCGCCATGGGTCTGACCAAGATGGCTCCCTGGCCCCACTGACCGCTCGAAGGGCACCAACTGACAGCGGCGACAGCCGTTCCGCAGCGTCGCCTCCGCGGGTCGTCCAAGAAGCGCCCCCCCGACCCGCCCCCGAACGCCGTAACCCGACCGTCCTCCCACCGATAGTCGCCCAGCGCTCCAGCCGCGAGAGACAACGCCAGGTCCTGGAGGGCATAACTACTCTGAGAAACGCGGGACCGTGAGGTGCTCTGGGGGGCATTCCGCGAAGCCAGAGCGCTGGGTCGGCGTCTAGGCCCGCAAGCGCTTGTCCTACTAGCGAGCTGGACAAGACTCTCACAGAATGGCTTGTGCTCCCATGGCTCTTAGTTGGAGTGCTCGTACGTTTTCCGACGCATGGGTTTTGCCAGTCTGTGCACGTCATGTATGTTAGTTTGTTTTTTCATGGGCATCCCAAGTGTCAGAACGTGTTGTCGGATTATTGTGTAGTTGCATATGAGTTCCAACATGCGTACGCACATGTACGCCAGGTTGGGCATGTATGCTGCTTCTGCTGTCCCACGCGCTACACGCGAATCTGATGATGCGCGCATGTATGCGCATCTTCGCACGCTTGCAAACTCATACCGCGAAAGAGCACTGGTGGAATAGCTCAATGTGCAACATCTGCATGCACTCGTGGCTCGTCATTGCTTTTCCCTGGGGGCGGCACGTTTTACCTCCAGCAAGCTAAGCGACTATGGTCAGGAATTCTGGGTTAACGTGTCGCTACTCCAGTGCTGGCCCACCAGGCTCCGGCGCGACACGCTATCCACGTCCCCGTCCCCGAGCGCTTCCCAGCCCCCCGCCCCGCGGAGCGGAGCGACACGCTATCCGCTTGCAAGGCATAGCGTGTCGTCGGAGCCGCCGTGGCGGCACGCTAAGCACACGTTCCCGCCCGTCTACCGTTCCCTTTGCCAGACTGTGGCTTGCCTGCGCGCCTCTGCACCCCCGTCCAGCACCACGTCGTCGTCGTCGTCGTTGTCGTTGTCGTTGTCGTCGTCCTCCTCGTCGTGGCCGCCGTGGCGACACGCCAAGCAAAAGCTCCCGACCGTGACGCTCTCCCCCGTCTGCCCCGGTCCCTCCGAAAGGCTGGCGGAGGCCCGCAAGCTGGCGGCGAAGGCGCAGAGGGAGCAGCGGGGCTTGCTGGATGCGGCCTTCACGGAACGCAGGGGAGGGCGCTGGCGCTTGTCGGGCTACCGCGGCCGCGTGACTTCAGAAAGGAGCTCGTCGTTCTCGTCAAGTTTCGGGAGCAGCAGCGGTTGAGATTTCTCCTTCGCCCGTGGGGGGGGGCGTCGGGGGCGACTTTGTTGCTGGAAGTCGCGGGCATCTCTCTCTCTGACTCTCTCTCTTTCTCTCTGCATATTTCTGTCATTGGTGTTTTTTTTTATTTTCCTCTCTATATATACATATATATATATATATATATATGCATGCCTGTCTCTGTCTCTCTCTCTCTCTCTCTTCTCTTTTTTCTCTCTCTCTCTCTCTCTCTCTCTCTCTCTCCCATGTATATGTATATATATATATATATATGCAGAAGCTGGCGGGGCAGAGAGCTCCAGGAATGTTTTCGACTCCAACCACCTGGTGCTTGGTGCCGACACCATGAGGGCCTGTGCTCATTCCCTATTGAGAGGAGCGCCCTTGCACGCAGGGTCATATCTCTGCGCTGTGACAAGTGGTGGCCGTTGCGCCCACTGGACATCCTACAATTCTGGCAGGACGCCCCGTACTGCGAAGGTCATAGTTTGTTTAAGCCTCGACGTCTCATAGCTCAGACTCTTCGCGTAACCCCACCAGCCCATCCAACAACGAGGCCCAAGCGAGTTGCGCTGATCAGGGATGTGAGGCCTCTTGGGGCCTCTTGAGGGCCGCGTGGGAGCATCTTGGGGGGGTCTGGGGAGCCTCTTCGGGTCGCTTGGGCGACTCTTGGGGCCATCTTGGTGCCCTCTTGGGGCCCTCTTGGGGCTCCCCTGGGGGTCTTGGAGGCCTTCTTGTGAACCTATTGGAGGGTGCGTATTTAACTAGGGCCACCACTCTGGAGCTCCCAACGTCACCTCCTGGGCCTCTCTTAGAGCGCGATTGGGCCGCTCTTGGACGCTGTTGGGGCCGTCTTGGAGCCATCTTGGGTCTCTCTTGGGACCCTCCTGGGCCATCTTGACGCCATCTTGAGGCCGCGGGAGCCCATCGGAAGCGAAAGGGCGAGAGGGCCGAAATCATTGCCCGTCGGTTTGGGACTGCTTTGGGCATCTTGGGGGAATCCTTGGGGTTCTCCGTGGGCACTTGGAACCATCTTTGGGCTACCGTGGGGCCACCGTGAAGCCTCTTGGAGGTATTTTGAAAGCAGTAGTGGGCCAACTTGGACCACATTGCGGCATCTCGGAAGCCGTCTTAAAGAATATGGGGTCACCTTAGGGCCCTCAATGGGCCACGCGCTTCCGAAGGATACCCCCGAAAAGCCCAAATCTTTGAACATCCGAGTGGTTTTGAATGTTGCTGTTGATCAAAAACGGATGGTCCAATAGGGCCTCCCCCCTCTGGAGCCCCCAAAGTCGCCCTCTTGGGGCCCTCCTGTGGCGCTCTTGCGGGGCTCTTGGGCGTCTTGGGGCCGTCTCGGGGCAATATTGGCCGCCTCTTGGGCCCCTCTTGGGGCCCTCTTGGGCCCCGTTGGCGCCATCCTGAGGTCTCGCGAGCCCGTCGGAAGCAAAAGGGCGAGAGGCCCAACATCACTGTTCGTCTTTAGGCTTTGAAGGATTTGGGCCTCTTGGGGGCCTCCTTCGGAGGCTCCGAGGCCACGTGGACCCGTCTTGGACTGGCCTTAGATGGTGGAAGCGATCTTGGGCCATCTTGGAGGCCACCTTGGGCTCTCGGAGTCCCGCTTGGAGACATCTTCGGCCCCAAACCACCCTTTGACACTTCGCGACCCCCCCCCGTCCAGGTCAAGGGGGGAGGCGGCAGGGGGAAGGCCAAGCCTTGCCCCGGAGGGGAAAAAGGGGGGTGGGAAGAGGAAGCTCCCTAAACCACTCACGCCCTAGAGGGCTGGTCGGATCAGACACTTCCGGGAGGACCTTCCCCGACCTCACATTCGGGTGTTGCTAGAAGTGCCCCTGGCCCAAGGTGCCCCCAGCTTTTCGCTACATTTTGGAGCCCCTGGGGTGGTCCTCTGGGCCTCGTGAGGGGTGCCCTGGAGGCCGCCTGGGCCACCCCGACAATCCTCGGGGTACCTTGGGCCAGGGGTACTTCTAGCAACATCCGACACATGTTCTGACTTCTGATTATTTCAATTCGGCGGCGCGCCCGGAGGAGGAAGTGAGAAGGGAGCAGGTCCTCTCAGAAGGCTCGGAAGGCCTCGGGTCTTCTGAGAAGTTGTCTGCGCCTTCCCCGAAAGCACCGAACAGTTCTCGGAAGGCCAGCGGGCTTCTGAGAAGTCCCGCCGCCTTCCGAGAAGGCCTTCTCCTCCTCACCTCCCCCCTTCGCTCGCCGCCGATCGATGCGTTGGGCCCAGGAAGCCCTGACTTCATATTTCGCACGGATTTGGCGCCGTGGGCTGGTGTTTCTTCCGAGCCGCAGGCCCCGCATGAGGCCTCCGGAGGCCCAGGCCCAGGAAAGAGAGCCAAGCCAGACAAAGGGCCCCTGGGCGCCAGAGGCCCGCGGAGGCCCCCGAATGCCGCCCCATAAGAGCTAAACGCTGGCACAAAACCCCACCCTCGAGCCTCGATCCTCGATCGACCCCCTCCTCCGTCCCGCCCCACACTCCATCCCGCCCCTCCCTCCGTGGCCATCGGCGAACCAGCCCCGCGGTCCTGGCTCCTCGGCTCACGCCTCCAGGGGCCTTCGCGGGCATCCTTCTCCTCCCTCCCGCCCGCCCACCCTCATCCCTCTCTTGTCCTCCCTCCCAGCTTCGTCCTCCCTCGTCCTCCCTCGTCTTCCCTGGGCCTCATCCCTCCCCCGTCCTCCCTCCCTCGTCCTCCGAGCTTCCGGAACGCTCTGAAGCGACCGCGGCGACCTCCAGACCCGCTGGCTCTCACATATTCTCGACTTATCCTCATACGCGCTGATCTTCAAGAGGATGAGAACGAGGCGAAGGAGGAGGAGCCGGAGGAATAGGGGGAGAAGGACGAAGAGGAGTCGAACGAGTGGGAGGAGGAGCATGAGCAGAAGGAGGAGGAGGAGGAGGAGAAGGAGGAAGGTGATGATGGTTGGCCGATGTCCGCGTCTCGGCCTAAATCGACGACGTCGTCGTCCTTGTGCCGCCCGCCCTGGCAAGCGAGGTCGGGCGACTGCGGAGGCAACGCTGGGGCGACGGGCTCGAGCTGCAGCGGCGGAAGACGCAGGCCGAAGACATTTGCTCGCCAGGGCTGGAGAACCGCGCTGGCACGCCGACAACGTCACCTTTTACGCTGCTGGGCGTCCCGCTGGGGGGGCCGCTGCCGCAGGACAACCTCCCAGACGAGAGCCACGCGCGCCGGCTGGCCGTGGGCAGCGACGCCTGCGCCGCAGCCCGCTGCTCCAGGACTGCCGAGAAAGGGGCGGCAATGCTGCAGACTAGAAGCTCGCCCAACTCCCTACGCTGGCCTCGCCGCACCTCCTGGCGACGCAGGCGGCGGGGCTAATCTTTTGGCACTGCGGCACGGGCAAGCTGACGCGCGTGCTTCGCCCCAACCCGCCGGCCTGCTCCCGGGGCGCGGTTGCGGCCTACGACAACGCGCTCCTCGAGGCCTACCCGGAGCTGGCGCGGCTAGACCCGCTGGCGCCGGAGCGGCCCGCGCGCTGCCGCCTGCCGCTCCAGCTGGGCGGCCGAGGCTTCTCTCGCAGCCAGGAGGAGCTCGCGCCTACTGCCTGGGCTGCCTCTTGGGCGCGCGGGCGTATGGGAACGCGCGGAGCTGGCGGAGATGGGCGACCTCGAGACCTCCGGCTTGCCTCTCGCTGCGGCTTGCCAGGGGGCGCTGGCCGGGCTGCTGCAGGGCCCGGTGGGCTGTTGCTGGTCTGGGAGAGATCGCTGCTCGACGATACGCGGCAGCATGCCCAACAACTTCAGGACAAGCTCCAGAGGAGATTCACGCACAGGCTGCATTCAAAAAGCTACACAGCCTTGTAGAGCTCCTTGGGCGCTCAAAAAGCGGGCGCTGTTCTGCTCCTGCGGGGGGCCTCGCGTGGGCGTCTGGCAGCTGGCGACGGGCGGACGGCGAGCCGTTGAAGGGTCCAGACTACTTGCGGCTTGCCGCTCTGCCGCCCTCCGCTGCGCCTGCGGGAGCGGCACCGAGGCGCGTAGCCTGGATGTCGAGGACGTGCGGGGCCGCATTCACCAGGAGTGCGGCTTCCGCGTGGAACCGCACCCAGGGTGCGGGCCTAGGATCGGTGGCGCTGGCGCTGCACCGCGGCCGGCCGCTCCGCGCGCGGCTTCGCGGACGCCCCGCCCGGCGGGCTTTGCAGCGCCTGCGGCGCGCCGCTCGAGGCCGAGCGCGAGGAGGCGCCGCTCGACGTGGAGGCGCAGCGCGGGGATCGCCGCCGGAACTCCGGGCGGCAGGCCCTTTGGCCAATCCTGCCGCTTGCCCAGGCACGAGATTGCCGGCCGGCTGGGCGGGGCCGCCCTGCGCCACCTGCAGTGGCTCGCGCGGGGCAACGCGCAGGGTGTGGGCGACGGCCCCGAGGCAGAAACGGCGGCGAACGCGCTGGCGCGGCGATGGGGCGCGGAGCTGGGCGTCTGGGCGTCGCGCGCCACCGCGCCACCGCGCGCCACCTGCGGAGCGCGCTTGGCCAGGAGCGCGAGCTCGCAGCCCATGGCGCGCTGGTGGCCGAGCTCGCCGGCTAGCCGGCCAGGCTGCGGTTTGCAGGGCACGGTCAGGGCCGCCTACCCGGTCGCCGCGTTCGTGGAGGAGCTCAAGGAAAGCGCGGGCGGCGCAAAGACCGCTTCGCTGCGCCAGAAGGAGGGAGAGGATGAGGAGGACGAGGACGAGGACGAGGACAAGGAGGAGGAGGAGGAGGAGGAGGAGGAAAAGGAAAAGGAAAATGAGAAGAAGGAGAAGGCGAATGAGAAGAGAAGGAGAAGGACAAAGACAAGGAGAAGGAGTAGGAAGAGGAGGAGGAGGAGTAGGAAGAGGAGGAGGAGGAGGAGAAGGAGAGACTCCCGATTCATCTTCATCCGCGTTTGTCCTCATCCTGCCTTTGTTTTACAGGGGGAGGAGGGGCAGGCCGAGCTGGACAAGCGCATTGTGGCCGCCGGGGCGCAATTGGCCAAGCTTCAGGCGTCACGACCGCGCCTCTGGGATGACCAGGGGTTCGTCCTCCCCCTGGCCCACCTCCTGGAGGGGAGGGGGAAGGCCAGACCAAAACATTGTTCTAGCAATGTCCTGGGTCGTTGTCATTATCCCATCGTTTTCGTTTCGTTTCAGTCTGGGGCCCACCCTTCGTCCATCTCGACTTCGGACTTGCGCCGAAACGCTGTTTTGGGCCATCGGCCGGACCGCTCTCGTTTCACAACGCTCCAAACATGACAACGGCACGAAAACGCAAAACGCTGATTGGGTCGACCCCTGCTCCAGCGTTTCGAGAAACTCAATGCGGAAGTCGTTTCACCGTTTTTGGCGCCAAGGGGGCCCCGCCAGGCCCCAGGAGTGCCAAGCACGACTCGGGAGGAAGCGCCCGCCCTGGGGGAAGGGTCGGGACGTCCGGGGTCTGCGCATTGAAAAACATCATGGTGTCGCGTGTCTGGGAAAGGGCAGGGGGGCGGGTGGAACGAGGGGTGAGAAGGAGGCAGGAGAGGGGAAAAACGGGGGAGGGAGGGAGGGAGGGAGGGACGAGAGGGAGAGGAGGAGGGAGGAGAGGAGGAAGACGAGGGAGGGAGAAGGGAGGGAGACACGAGAGGGAGAGGAGAAGGGAAGATAAGAGGAAAACAGAGGAGGGAGGGGGGAGGGAGGGACGAGAAGGAGAGGAGGAGGAAGGAGAGGGAGGGGGGGCGGGAACGGATGATGGAAAGAGGAAGAGGAAGAAGAAATTATGCCACGCGCGGTCCGCCCGACGGGTGATGCTCCGCAGCCTGCCCGTCGCATGCAGACCGCAATGCGCGAAGGATGGAAGAAGCGGCCCACGGGAACGGCCACGCGGGCCGCGTCGTGCACGGAGCGAGGTAGACAAGCTGACACTCAACTGGCCGCTTGGATGGCCCCGATCTGACGGTGCCAGCTGGCGGTGTGTCCTTGTCACTTCGTGCACGCGCCTTCAGAAGGCATGGCAGGGCCGAGCGCCGCTGATCCTCGGTAGCTCTGCAAGAGCTGCGTGGTCCAATGTGAAGGGCCCCGCCGCTGCAACATGGCCTTCGGCCTCATCGCCCTCGGCCACGCTGCGAGGCATGAAATCAACCATATCCACCGCCTGAATAGCCGATCTTCGAGGACCTCGGCAGGCGGTGAATATGGACACTCAAGAGGCTTGCGCCATTCCACCGACCCCCACGAAAGGGATGCAGTCGGCAGGCGGTGGACAGGGATATGAAATGTTCGAGCCCCCCAGGGCCAAACTATAGATATCCATATCCACCGCCCCCTGGGACCCCAGGTCAACCACGCCTCGGCACCACACGCTGTCCACGCCCCCCGTTCCCGAGCGTCGACGTCCCCAGCTGTTCCCAGCCTCCTGCCCCGCGGAGCGGAGCGAGACGCCACGTGTCGCCGGGGCCGCCGCCGCGACACGCTAAACAAACATTGCCGACCGTCTACCGTCCCCTCTGCCAGATTTTGGCATGCTTGCGCGCCTTTGTCCCCCGCCCAGCACAGCGTCGTCCTCGTCGTCTTCGTCGTCGTCCTCGTCGTCTTCGTCGTCCTCGTCGTCTTCCTCGTCGTTGTCGTTGTTTTCGTTGTCGTCGTCCTCGTCGTCCTCATCGTCCTCGTCCTCGTCATCGTCCTCGTCCTCGTCGTCGCCGTCGGCGCCAACGGCGGCCCAGGATCAGGAACGTAACTCGAGATCCTGAGATCTTCGCCCCAGGAGACCCCAGGAAACTTCAAGAGGCCCCGAAGAAGCTTGAAAGAGGCCCAAGCGAACCCCAAAAGAGGCCCCGAAGGCATTCGACAAAAAAGGAAATTCAACATTTGTTTTTCAAGTTCGCCTGGCAGCTTGGCTACGCTTGCAACAGAGTGCGTCCGATTCTTCCTCCTCGGGTGAGAAAGCTCCTCCTCCTCCTCCTCCTCCTCCTTTTCCTGTTCCCCCTCCTCCTGCGAGGACCGCACGTAGCCGTTTTGGCCTAAGGCTGTGGAGCACAGCGCCTGGATATTGCACAGATCCGTTTGACCTTGCACGCTCCGCCGACCCATCTCCCGAGGACCCACTGTCAGCCCCCGAGGATCATGGCGCTGAGGGTGGCCTCCGCGCTGGCTGGCCTCGCGCTCGCAGAGGCCCTCGCGGGCCAGCAGGCCCAGGAACTGCACAAGCGGGGACACACGGGCGCGCGCGCCGACAGGGCGGACGCCTTCGGGGCCACCAGGACCGACAGGAGCGGGGCCTGCGACTGCATGAACTGGGCGGAAGTCTACTACAACAAGCACGCCTCCTGCGGCCGTGCCAAGGAGCTCTATTTCCTCTCAAAGTACGGTTTCTCTGCCGCGTACGCCGCCACCGAGCCCATCACGGGCTTGCCGCACAAGGTGTGCAACGACTTCTTCAAGAACTTCAAGGACGAGTCCTGCGTCAACGTAGACCTGTACCCTTTCCCGCGCGACAACATGAGCGACAAGCAGTGGTGCTACGTGTCCAACGACTGCAACGACCTGAACGGCGGCGAGTACGCCACCAACCAGGTCGGTTTCGCGCAGGGCGGATGGAACAACCTCGCGAGCACCAGCACACTGTCCTGGAAGATATGCGACCCCTCCGTGGACAGCATCCTGAAGTACAAGTCGGTCGGGGAGCTGGTGGACCTCGGCCAGCTAAGCGACGTCAGCCTGTCGCGGCTCCTGCGGCTCGCCTACCCCGCCGTGAACATCACCTGGGGCGAGGCCATGTACATCATGGAGGCCATCGACGAGGCCTGGGCGCCACGCGTCACCCTCGCGGAGGTGGTCGACTCGCTCCAGGCTCCGACCAGCGCCTGGGGCAGCAGGGCCGTGGACGTTCACTCGATGCTCAGCGACATCGTCAAATCGGAGCAGGGAACGATCCTCGACTCGCCGGGGCACGGGGACAACTTCCACGTGATCAGGGGCCGCGAGGTGTGGGTCGTGCAGAGGATCGCGCTCGGAGACATGGCCTACCTCGGCGGCCACTTCGCCACGGAGTTCGACGTGAACTGCACCATCGGCTGTGCCCCCGTCCGCTGGGAGGCGCCCTCCCCCGTCGACCTGGAGACGCTGTGAGAGCGCGGGCTGCCGCCGCGCGGCCAGTGGCAGGCGAGGCACCGTTCAGCCTCGGCGCGCTCGCCTGGCCGGTGGCGCCGTGAGCCGATGGGGCTCGGGGCCCGGGCCGCCCCCCGTCGCTGATGCCCATCTTCGGGGCCCACGTGGTGGGGGTCAGCGCTCATCCTCCTCTCCTGTTATGATGTTACAACCTACCTTTGGCTTTGATCATCAGAAAGAACTTCGAGCACCAAGAAGGTACCGAAATTGGAGGGTTTTCACGTGTCGGGCCCTGGGAGGCCACACGTGTTCGACACTTCACCAGCGTGTCGGGCAGACACTGTTTCGATACTTCTCTGGGTGCCCGAAATCTTTTCTGGCATGTGATCCTTAAGTGCGATGGGAACTACACAATTCTGCTGTCTCCTCCCCCTCGTGGCAGCACAGCCGGGATGACAGCCGCCCCTGCGCGCCGCAGCAGGCTCTTGCGTTTTGCGCTTCAGCCTCCGCACTGTAGGCTGGGAGCTCGCTGTGTACGAGCACCAGGGACTTGCCAGACGCCCGTTTATGCGCACCCCCTTGTTTTTGGCACGGGAGGCGCCAGAGGCATCACCATCTTCATGCCCATAATCATTATCATCAGCAGCAGCAGCAGCAGCAGAATCATCATCTTCACTATCGTCATCCTCGTCGTCATTATCTGCATCATCATCAGCATCATCATCATGAGCAGCATCCTCATCATCATCATCATCATCAGCAGCAGCATCATCATCATCATCCTCATCGTCGACGTTGTCATCATAAACAGCATCATCATCATCGTCGTCATCACCGTCGTCATCCTCAGTATCCTCATCATCCTCATCATATCCAGTATCCTCATCCTCATCATCATCACCGTCCTCATCATCCCCATCATCCTCATCCTCATGATCACCCTCCGCCTCCTCCTCATCTCCTCCTCCTCATCCTCCTCATCCTCATCATCATCGTCGTCGTCCTCATCATAAGCATCATCAGCATTATCATCATCAAGGGAATCGTCATCACCATCATCATTCCCATCATCATCATCATCATCATCATCATCATCATCATCATCATCATCATCATCATCATCAGTATTATGTTCCTCCTCTTCGTCCTCATCATCATGATCACCATCATGATCAGCAGCATCAGCATCATCATCAGCATCAGCAGCATCAGCATCATCATCAGCATCAGCATCATCAGCATCATCATCCTCAGCATCATCATCATCATTATCATCATCATCGTCATCATCGTCAGCATCAACATCATCGTCATCATCATCATCATCATCATTATCATCATCATCATCATCATCATCGTCATCGTCATCGTCATCGTCATCGTCATCGTCACCACCAGCATCGGGATCATTCTCCTCATGACGCTCTCCCTGCTCCCCCCCTAACCACCCTCTTCCCCCCCCTAATTGCCCCCCTCCCCCCTCCCCTCCCCCCGATAAGCCTCCAAGCCTCGGGTCTCTTCCCCCGCCCACCCCCACGGCAGGCGCTCGCTGGCGACTATGAGCGGGTGCGGCGCGCCGCCGCCGATCGGGCCGCGCCGGAGGGCGACGACGCCGGCGCGGCTTGACCGACCCCGCGGCTCGCGCACCTCGTGCTGCACCCCGTGCCCGTCCATGCTGCCTCTCCCTCCTCCCATTCCTGACCTGCACGAAACCTCCAAACCTCCTCCTCCAAACCTCCTGTTCCCTATTTCCCCGATGGCATTAGAGTGCTCCGCACGCTGCCGCTTCCCCCATGACTGGCCGTCCGGCCAGTCTTGGTGGAGTAGAATAAACAAGTAGGCGATTAGGTAACAGTAGACAGGGAGGAGGAGGAGGAGGAGGAGGAGGAGGGAGGAAAGGAGAGGGCAACATACACCTCCTTCTGCTGCCTGAGGTCCCCTTGGGGCACCTTACGGGACTCGTGTGCGACTTCACTCCTCTTTAGGGCATATTGCGTTCTCTTGGAGGCCTCTTGCTTGGGCCATCCCAGCCGCATCCTGGGACCCTCCTGGGCGGTCTCGGGGGAGATTTGCCACCCGGCCCCCTTTGCTGCCAACCCCCGTGGCGTGGAAGGGATCAAATAAAAAGGCCGATGATCCGCAGGAGGTGTGATACCCCACTGTGTGTTTGACTACCCGGTTCAGCTCCACCGATAGCACGCAGCTTGTGTCAGCTCTCGCTTTACCGTCATATTGAAGGGTTTCGGCCTCGCACGTTCTGAGGGCCACCGAAAGGGGCTCCCGTTGACTCGATTGCGGCATGGCTCGACGTGTGCGCTTTTCCTTGGAGGCATGGCGTTGGCGCCAGCATCGCCCTGTGGCACCTTCGGTCCCCTCCCCTCTCCCCCCGCCCCCCTCACCTCTCCCCTCCTCCGCCCAGGGGGGGGGTCCCTCCGCTCCCTTCCCCTCTCCTCCAGATCCCCCCGCTCCTCCTTCACATCCCTCCCCAGAAAGAGGGAGGGCGGGGAGGGGGAACAACAAACACCGGCCAACAACGTCGGGTTCTGGAGCGCTCGACAACGTCTGTCGAATAGACTGCGGGCGGCGGGCTCTTTCCTGTGAGCCACAGGGCCCGCAACGGGCCTCTGGAGACCCAAGCGGTCGTCGTGTGTAGCGCCGCCTGGAAATACAAGAGCGGTCGATCCAGCAGCTGCAGGTCGTAGGCAGAAGCAGCGGGGTCTCCCTTGTCAACAGCGAGCCGGTTCTGGGACTCCTTCGCGATGCTTTGGTTGTCGACGGCTGTGCCACCGTGTGCCGCGGTTGCGGCGCTTCCTGGGGTGGCCCCGACCGCGATCCAAAAGGTCGATGTTGCGCTCGGCGCTCGGCCCTTTGGCATTCTGGCGCGCAGCCTGCTAACAGCGGTGCGTAGCACACGAGCCAGGGGCTAGGACGAAAGGCGCCTCCGCATCATCGCAGGCGGGCGCAGAGGGGCGACGACGGGCATCGGCTGCGCCCAAGAGTGACCGACTGCTGGAGCGACCTGTGGTGCGGGCCTACGGGGGTCCCCTCCAGGCCGCCCAAATCCATAAGATCTTGGCTCTGCATGTGTTTCCCCCGCCGGGCGTCTTCGCCCGGTGTCGGGCCCCGGTGCCCTCGCGGATCGGTCCAGCTTGAAGAGTGACGCAGGACGATGTGATCTGGGGTTCCGGTTGTGACCCTTTGCGATGTTGCCACCGTTTTGCAATGTCGGATCTCAGGGATTGGGGCCCGCGTGGATGGGGTCGGAGGGTCGTGCCGCATCGCCGATGCATCGCGGCTCGATGTGGAGCCCGATCTTCTCCACGCCAACGTCGTCGATGCATCGGCGATGCGGCGCGATCCTCCGACCCATCTATCAAGTAGGGGATCGACTACAGAATTGACTTTCCCCAACATTGATATGTTCGTCAAATCTGCGAAAAATGCGCATCATGCTCGTTGATCTGCGATCAATATACGTTTTTTGGTACATCTGACGAGAAAGTCAATCTTGGGGCACATCAATTTTGCAGTCGATCCCCTGCTCGATGATTCGGACCCCACTCGAGAGGCCCCCGTCCCCTGAGCACTGGCCGGCGCGCTCGGATTTGCTGCCCCCCCCGCCCCCCCCACCGCGGCGGCCCCCCTGACGCCGCGCACCAAAGGCCACTCCAGCCTGGGGCCACTCCTTGCGTACAGCCGCCAGCTACGCAGAAGAGTGACCTTTCGCCAGAGTGACCACGCTGACACTCCCAGCGTGGTACCACGGGGACCCTTCGATCGAGTGACCCTTGCTGCGGGGTCACACCGTCCGTCCCGTGGGGTCCCCTCGGCACTGGCTGGCACGCTCGAGCTTGCCCCCCCCCCCCCCCTAAGGTCCGGCGTTGCGAAACACTGCAGCATCGCCGGAAATCTGGAAAAGTCATGACCGGAGCCCTGGCCCCCATCCTTCTGCTTTCCATTCTTGGAGCCTGATCGATCTGTGAGGATCCCAGGGCCCGAGCCCGGGCGGAAACGCCCGTGGCGATCAGGTTGGAGCGCCAGGATCGCACAGGGCCCCCTGCGGCACCCCCTGACGCCGCGCACCGAGGGCCGCTCCTGCCAGGGACCCGTCCCCTGCGGGCAGCCTGGGGCGGGGCAGGCGACGGAGCCGACGGCCAGGAGCGCGCAATGAAGAGCGAACGTGGCGTCCTTCACCACGGGGGGCACCCTCGTGCTCGCCCTTTGAGGGCTCGTGCTCTGGTCGACTACACGCAAGAGTGACCTTTCGCCGGAGTGACCTTTGGTGCGGGCTCACCGGGGCCCCCCGATCGCTGAGCGCGATGCGGTAGTGGCCGCTTGAGCGTGTGGATTTAGCCACCTTGCGACCAATTAATCCGCGAACTAGAGGTTGCCAAGGGTCACTCTTGCGTGTACGTAGCCGATTTGGAGGGCTTCGGGAGCTCTCGGTGGCGCCTGGAGGCTTTCTCGCCTCGGGATCCGAAGAAAACAAAACAGCATAAGCATAGGCATAAACTTTTGGCCGCGCGGATTTCTTGGATCGGCGCTGGGCCCCCTAGCGGCGCCTCCAGCGCCGCCACTGGCGCGCTCAGCGCGGCAGGGGGCAGGACCAGCGCAGATCCAAGAAATCCGCGCGGAGTTCTCGCAGTTCATGCTTGCGCAGGTGTCTGCCTCTCTTCTCGTGAGGCTCGCGCTTAAGATGTCTTCGGGAGCTCTCGTTGGTGCCTGGAGGTTTTCTCGCCTCAGGGTCCTCTTCCAGCAGCTGCGCCTAGTCGAGAAGGTTCCGGGGTTATGATGTTCCAACCTACTTTAGCCCTGACCACCAGAAAGAATTACGAGCAACAGGAAAGTACCGAAACTGTATTGTTTTCACATGTCGGGCCCTGGGAGGCGATGCTCGTTCGACACTGTTTCGGTTTGGTGGGGGCGTTGCGTACACGTGATCGGATCGGTTCTTTGTTCGTTGGTATGGTCCGATAAGGTGTCCAAGTGGCAGACGACTGGGCGAATGGAAATCGTAGCTGTGACGGCCCGCTTTGGCTGGAGTGCACGACTAGTCGGGTCGATCGTGCGGCCGGCTTGCGACTTGTTTGTTCACAATCTGGTCTTTGCTCTGGCCGTGGTGTGGCCACAGCAGGGCGAGCCATGGAGTGTTGATCTGGCGGTCGTATCTTCTCCTGCGTACAGTACTCCTCTTCTTCCTCGGCATCCTCCTGCCCCTCCGCCTCCACCACCACCACCACCACCACCTCATCGTCGGTCGCACGCAGCAACTATGGCTCAGGGGTCAAGACTCTTTCGCTAAACCTGCCTGGCTCCACCCACCCAGGCGCACATACACTCTCGCCGACGTCGGCACTACACATCTCACAAGTACCACGCAGCCTCCGCTGCGAGCGTACAGAAAGCTTGTCAAGGGCTTGTTTGTCGCTGGTCGGCAATGGGAGCCACTTGGAAGCCCACCCTGCTGGAGTTCTACGCGGAAGTCCAGAAAGATCCCGCCTCGAGCGACCCGTCTGGCAGCCCGGGCACCTCGAAGAACAGCCGGGGCCCGATCTCGCAGCTGCAGGATCGGGCCGAACGACAGGGGGGATAGGGAAGGGGGGGGTACAAAATCTGCTGCATCCAGCCGGCGCCGGGAGGCGCTGGGAAAATCAGCTACGTGAGCTGATTCTCTACCATACCCTTTGCTGTCCCCCCCTTTCGTTCCCCCCGACAGGAGTACGTGCAGGAGGCCTCCACGGCCTTCGCCCTGCCTGCGAACTGCTCGGTCCTGCAGTGGAACCTGAGCACCCGGGCGTCCTCGGCGAACCTGGAGTTCCGCGCCACAGTGGCGTTCATCCTCCAGGGCGTTCGCGGGCGAAAAACGTGTCCGTATCCGTGGCCTCGCGGGCCGCGCCCCCGCGGATGCGGGGCGTGTTCGTGGACGTGTCCGCGGGGTCGCGCCCCGGAATCCACACCGCGAGGGCGCGGGTTTGGATCACCACCCACCAAGCCACCCCAACCCTACCCGAAGACTCCAATGTGCCCTCCATTTCCGGTGGAGGGGGGTCGGGGAACATTAAAAAAGCACATATGGAACCCGTACCCCCTTCCAACCCGAAATTCGGGTCTTCGGGTTGGGCTGGGGTGGTCTGGTAGGTGGTCAACGGATGCGTTCGCCGCTCGCGAGGCGTCCCGCACCACGTGGCCGGCGTCTGGAGGCCCTCCAAGAAGGCCGCCCAGCGAGACGCCGCCGAGCGGGCCCTGGAGCTGTACGACGCCCCCCGGGCGGAGGGCGGGGGCGCAGCGGAGGAGGGCAGGTCGCCGCTGTCGGCGGTGGCGGAGCTGCGGTGCGAGCAGCCCTGGTTCGTGGCGAGCAGGGGCGCATTGACGGGGGGGCGGGCTGGGGCTGGGGTGAGGGGGGGGGCCATTGGCTTGCAATCGGCGACGCATCGCCGACGGATCGGCGACAGGCTACCGACGGCGATCGGTGACAGGCTCCCGATGGCGAAACCGCACGCCGCAGGGCAGGCTTGGGGCACCCAGGCCCCCCAATCGGCGAAGCATGGGCGATCGGGGGCCGAGATGGCTGGGGCTGGGTGAGAGGGGGGTCGGTAAGAATTCACGGGAGCATCGTATGTCCTGGCAGTTCCATGCCTAGACTGCATTGGCGTGCGCTGGCGTCTGGTAACCAATGGGAAGGCGCCAATTCAGCGTCGATTCAGCACCGACTTGGAGTGGATGGGCGTCGATTGGCGTCGGTTCGGTCAGCGTCGATTCGGAAGGGCTAGCATGATGACGTGGGAGGCCCTGGTGAGTTGCCACGGAAGCGGGGTGTCTGGCGTGAGGCGGGGGCATCTCGGCCCCCGATCGCCCGGTCCTCGCCGATCGGGGCCCGGGTGTCTCAAGCCTGCCCAGGGGCGTGCGGCTTCGCCACTGGGAGTTCTGTCGGCGATGCATCGCCGATTCCGAGCCAATGCTTCCCCTCCACCCTGCTGAGCTAGCCCCCCCCCCATGTCTCAAGGGAGTGAAGAGACCACCCCGACCCCAATGGCGGCGTCAACTGCACAGTCCTGGGCGTTCACTAAGCAGCCCTTCCTCGGGCACCTTTTCTACGTAAAGGGCCTCGCCTGCAGGGAGAACGCAACATGAGGGTGGCTGCCCTGCCCTCGATATATTCGGAAACTGGAACATATACATTACCAGTGGCGGGCCGTTTTTCAATCCCGGGACCTTTTGAGGGTCGGGGACGAATCCGGGTTCGTGTGGTCTATACTGGTTTCCGCATTTTCCAGGGGAAGCAGCGACAAATGTACACACCAGGATCCCGTATACACCAGGATCCGCTTTCCCGTGCGAGTTTCGGTGCGGAGCCGGAAAAAGCATCGGTGTATAGAGTTCGGTTCCCTATATGTTATCACTCCCAGGGAGTGACGCCCAAAGTGCGCCGCCTCATTAAATTGCTTGCGCGACCAAGGGAAGTCGGCGACTCCGAATGGTCTGGTTTGCAAAGGGTGCGTGTTGCAACTTGGGGGGCCCGGCGAGGACCTCGACTGAGTTCTCCGCCGCGCCCCGAGGAGGTCCGATTGACGGCAATGTGGTGCCCCCCCCCCCCCAGCCCCAACGATGCAGATCGCAGACCAAACCGCGTCGTAACCGCACATTTTGTTCGGCGGCGCGCCCGGGTTGGGGAAGTGAAAGAGCAGGCCTTGTCAGAACGCGGCTGGGATTCTCAGAAGCCCTCTTGCTTTCTGAGAAGTTGTCCTGCGTCTTCGGAGAAGGCTTGGGACATGTTTCAAAAGGCCCGATGCCTTCGAAGTCTTCGGAGAGCGCACGCCCCTTGTCACTTCCCACCTGGGCTCGCCGCCGATTTGTAGCCGCCGAAGAAGGCCTCGGGTGCGAGGCCTCGGGACGAAGGCCTGGGGTGCGGAATCAACGACCAGAAACAAAGAGAACACAGGAAGAGGCGGGGGGGCAGAAGACAGCAGAGGGAAGAAAGGGAGAAGGGAGGAGATTGGAGCCGTCTGGGAATCTGAGGTGGCCCTGCAATGCTTCCGTCCAGCAGGAACGGGATGAAAATGTTCGAGGCTCTGGGTTGGGGAAGGTTTTTTGCCATGTCCGGCTTCCAGGGGCCGTTTTCGGGCTGCAGGGTTGTGAAAGATGGGTCCGGGGTGAAGAACTGCACCAGATGGACCCCAGGAAGTCTCTGGAGACCGATTTTGAGTGGATTTGGCCTCATCCCACCCTCCTGACCGATTCAGACCCCCCAGCCGCCTCCAAAGGGGGAGCGACAGAAGAAGAGCAGAGCATAGCAGCAGAAGGGAGAGAGAACAGGGAAGGAACTCGCGCAACCTCCCCAGAGATCCGACGACGCAGGAAAATACAACATCGCGACAAGTCACGGCTGGAGCCCTGGGCCCCATCTCTCTGCGCCATTTGTCGAGCGGGATCGGTCTGCGAGGCTCCCGGTGCCCCAAATTGGGTGGCTTGACAAAAATGCAGCGCCTGGCTATCAGGGATCCTCCCTTCTCAGGCACATGGCTGCGGAGCTGCGGAAGCGCTGCTGCAATGCCGCCCATCATGCCTGATCTAAATTGTGTACTCAACTATCTTGCCAGAAACTGAGCCCATAACGATCTTCACATGATGCTCAAAGACCGGGGCGGACAAGAGCGGCCTTCCCTTGGGCGCCTTTACTACGTGGCCCTTGCCTGGGCGCCTCTACTGCGTAAAGGGCCTCGCCTGCAGGGAGTGCGTATCATGAGGGTGGCTCTCCTGCTCTCTCTCTCTCTCTCTCTCTCTCTGTACTATCGCTCCCGGGGGTGAGGCCCCGTTGGGCGGGGGGGGAGGCTGTCTACAAATGCGAGGCGCGTGGGGCCGCGCCGCGGCCGCCGCCGACGTCGCTCGACAGTCAGACCAAGAAGGGGAGGGACCAGATGGGGCGCGCCCCATGTCGGCACGTGGCCCCCCTCCAGTGCCCGACGAGCGGCGTCTTTGGTCGGCTTTCGGGGGTATCCTCCTCCTGCCTACTGTCGCTCCGCCGGTTTGGGCCCCACACTCGATCCACCTTCCCATTCCCAAGCGTCAACGTCCCAAGCATTTCCGAAAAGTCTCCCGCCCCGCGGAGCGGAGCGACACGCTGTCCGCTCGCAAGTCATAGCGGCATAGCGTGTCGCCAGGGCCGCCGCGGCGACACGCAATGCTAAAGTATCCGATCGTATACAACTCTCTCTGCTGGACTGGCCTGCCTGCGCGCCTCTACCCCCCCGTCCAGCACCACGTTATCCTCGTCGTCGTCGTCTTCGTCATCGTCGTCGTCGTCCTCGTCGTCATCGTCGTCCTCGTCGTCTTCGTCGACGTCCTCGTCGTTCTTCTCTTGGTCGTCCACGTCGTCCTCGTCGTCGTCCTCGTCGTTGTCGTCGTCGTCGTCGTCGTCGTCCTCGTCGTCGTCCTCGTCGTCGTCCTCGTCGTCGTCCTCCTCGTCGTCCTCGTCGTTGTCGTCGTCCTCGTCGCCATCCTCGTCGCCGTCCTCGTCGTATACCATCGCCTCCCCCCCCCGCAGGCGACGGCCCCGGACGACGTGGTCTTCAGCGTCCCCATCCCGGGCAAGCTCGCGGCGGCGGCACGCCGCGCGCCGGAGTTCGGGGGCGTCCAGGATGGGGGGCGACCGACGACGACGACGACGACGAGGACGATCACGACGACGATCACGACGATGACAACCACGACCACGACCACGACCACGACGACGACCACGACGACGTCGACGACATCAATTTAGCTAGATTCGGGAACTTTTGGATAGCGTGTCGCTCTGCCGGTTCCGGCCCACTGCGCTTTGGAGCGACACGCTGTCCAGTTCGCGGTCCCGAGGCGTCCACGTCCCGGCCTTTCCGAGCCTGGCTGATTCATCTGATGGCGACTCATCCGCTCCGACTCATCCGATCCGTGGTTCGGGTGAACTGCGACCGGATGAATTAGACTGGATGAATAAGGCACCGGATGAGTTTGCCCGGATGAGTTTGTCACCGCGGATGAGTTAGCCCGGATGAGAGGCGGGATGAATTTGGCACCAGATGAGGTAGGCATCAGATGAGCCAGGCATCAGATTATGTAGGAGTCGGATGAATGAGTACCGGATGATCTTCGCGCCGAATGAGTTTGGCACCGGATGAATTGGGTACCGAATGAGTTTGGCACTTCATGAGTTTGGCACCGGATGAGTTTGGCGCCGGATGAGTTTGGCACCGGATGAGTTTGGCACCTTGGTACCAGATGAGATTGGCACTGGATGAGATTGGTACCAGATGAGTTTGGCACCGGATGAGTTTGGCACCGGATGAGTTTGACACCCGATGAGTTTGGCACCCGATGAGTGTGGTTTTGGATGAGATTGGCGTTTCTCGCTATAGTGTGAGGTCTCGTTAGCTGGCGGGGGCGCCAGTGGGGTGATACCAGAGATTCTTCGACGGGCTCGTTTGAAGAGCTGCGCTGTCTAGAAAAAAGGAAATAACCTACGCATAAACTTTCGGAGGCTCGCGCGGAGATCTGGAGTCGGCGTTGGACCGCTCCTGGGTTGGGCCTGGCGCGTGGCGAGCGGCGCCCGCCCGGATCGGGGCCTGGTGCCGACGGAAGAGATCCGAGAGGGCTTCCGAAAGTGTATGTCTATGCGTGCTCATTCTTGCCGATCGCTTGGCGTACGCCGCTTCTTCTCAGCATTCCTCGCTCTCCTGCCTGTTCCCCGTCGTCCTCCTCCCTCTTGTCCTCCTCGCTTCCATGATCTATCTCCCTCCTGCACGTCCTCCACCTTCTCTCCTCCTCCCTGTCTTCCTCCTGCTGAGAGGCGGGCTGGATGAGTTCGGCATTTGGAGTTAAAGAGCTGAATGAGTTAGTCACCGGATGAGTTGGGCAATTGTATGAATAGAGCACCAGATGAGCTAGGCACTGGATGAGTTAGGCCTGAGTAAGCTTAGTAACGGACCGCATGAATTTGGCAACGGATGAGTTTGGCACCGGATGAGTTTGGCATCAGATGATTCAGGCACTGAATGAATTTGGTTCGGGGAAGTTAGGCATCGGATAAGTCAATTTCCCGGGCTCTTCTGGTAGGGCTTCTTGGGGGCATCTTGGGACAGATGGGGGGTGAGAATTTGCTTGACCACAAAACGCTTTGTAGTCAAGAAAGTCTTCATGAAATTTGAGTTTTTGTGGGATGTTTTTGAAGCCGATGTTGGGGGTCGCTGCCTCCCGAGGGTGTTCTGGAGGGGTTGTTGGGTGCATCCTGGGGCAGACTGGAGGTGAGAATTTGCTTAACTACAAAACGGCTTGTAATCAAGCAAATGTTAAGTTCCTTTCGAGTTATCCGTAAGGGCTTCACCCCCTGCCGCCGGCCCCCCCTCTCGGATAATGGGCAATGCAAGAGCGAAATCATGAGGCCTTGGCGCCGCCGTGAAGCAGCGTCGGGATTTCACGCGAAGACGATGAGTAATCGGCAAGACACATTGAGATTCTGATGATATTGTTGAATTCGGTGTTGAATTTCGAGCTTGCTCGCGTATGCTGTGCAAAAAGCTGTTCCACGAAGTATTGAAATGTTGCAAATCCCATGTGCTGTTTGACCCTGACCCCACCGATCTGCGTGAGGGGTGCCACCGAATTTCAAGACATGTGGCAAATCCCATGTGTTTTTCGACCCAGGCCTCGCCGATCTGCATGAGGAGTGCCACCGAATTTCAGACATGTGGCAAAGACTATGTTTTTGGACCCTGACCTCGCCGATCTGCGTGATGGGGGTCACCGAATTTCAAGACATGTGACAAATCCCCTTGTGTTTTGAAACCCTGACCCCGCCGATCTGCAGGAGGGGTGCCACCGAATTTCAGAAATGTGGCAAATCCCTTGTGTTTTTCCCGGAAAAAGCGGGGGCCAAGGGCTCTCTTAGGCTTACCCCCGAAATCGACTTGCAGGAGGCCGGCGGAATTATTGTGCGATAAATGACGAGTTTGAAGGAGGCCGGCATAATTATGTTTGAGGATATCTCGGGCGAAACACTTGTTTTTCAGAATTTGTTGAGGATGTCTCGAGCGAAACGCTGGTTTTGCAGAGTTGGGGGATGTCTCGAGCGAAACGCTTGACTTTCAGAATTTGTTGAGGATGTCTCGAGCGAAACGCTGGTTTTGCAGAGTTGGGGGGATGTCTCGAGCGAAACGCTTGATTTTCAAAACGTTTTGAGGACGTCTCGAGCGAAACAGTGGTTTTGCAGAGTTGGGGTATCTAACATGGCGTCGGGCCCAACGCCGAATTATGAGGAAACGCAGGGGGGGCCGAAAAGCGCTATCCGAACACAGGTCCCAATACAGAACTGAAATGTCTTCTCGCTCTGAACAGGGGGGGTGCGATTTGGGTGGGGCCTCTCCAGGGAAGACATTACGAGGATGTCTCGAGCGGGAGCGCGAATTCAGCGTATCCAGGTCACGCAGGGGGGTATCTAACATGGCTGTCCCGAGCTGGAACCACGTGTTTTTCATGCTCAGGCCACCCAGGGAGATCTCGAACATGAATGTCCCGAACTGGAACCACGTGTTTTTACGTGTCCAGGCCCCCCAGGGGGTATCTAACATGGTTGTCCCGAGCTGGCACCACGTGTTTTTACGTGTCCAGGCCACCAGCACGACGCTTGTCCCCAGCACGTTCTGTAGCGCGTTCCCATGGCACGTCCCGCGGTGCGTCCTCGTGACACGTCCCCTGGCACGTCGCCTGGCGTTATAACGGCAGCGGCCTCCTCCAGGAGGGATATGGAGGTTTTGCTGGAAAGTGTAGTCAAGAGTGTCGAAACAGTCTGCAGGCCGCGGCGCCCAGGAGTCTCAAAACAGTGTCGCGGCGACACTGTCGCGCAAAAAAAAAAGTGCAGGCCGCTCAGGCGACACTCGGCGCTGCCACGCCGCGCGCAATTTCGCAAACCCGCCCCGCCGAGTGGGCGTGGGGCTGGGGGCAGAGCACCCGTGCCGCGCGCTGCCGAACCAACGCGCGGCACATCAGGAAGCCAACGCGAGGCGCAGGAACCTGCGCAAGGGGGGCACCCACGGACGCGAGCTCGCGCTCGGGCCACGCGCAGGCCGCTTTGGAGCCAGGCGGCCTTGAGCCAAAATGGCCACGGACGGAGTGGAGGGGGATGGATGAGGAGGGAGGGGCGGGGGCAGCGGGGTGGTCTGGGGAGGGGGGGTGCGAGGGCATAGCGGCGGAGCCCCATAGGGAGTTCCATCGGAGGCCCCATTGCCAGCGGTCGCATTCGGTCCGAGGGTCCACTTCGGCGCGCTCACACGTTCCGCGCCTTCATAGAGAGCTCCACCGAAGGCGCCAGCGGCAGCGGTTGCCTGCGGCCCGAGGGCCCACTCGGACACGCGCTGGTTTTCGGAATCGCGCTCTCGCCTTAGGCACCTTCGCACCGCGGGCTCCTGGCGGGAAAAAGCGTCGGCCCACTCGGAATGAGAGGGGGTGGGGAGTAAGAGGGGGGGTTCGGCGGCGGCGACGGCGGCGGCGACGACGGCGGCGACGGCCGCTCGGGTGCCCCCCCCCGCTGGCGCGGCGGCGCCCTCGGGCCGCCCGTGGCGGCCTGTCCCCCTCGGGTGGCCGCGGGCGGGGCGGGAAGCAGGAGGCAAGAGGGGGGGAGAAGGGGGGGGAGAGGAGGGGGGAGGGAGGGGGGGGAGGAGGCGGGGGGGCTAAGGTCGCGTGCCAACTCACGATGAAAACAGACGAGATGGAGAACAAGAACTAATGGCTCTCAGACCGATGCAAAGAACTCAACGAACAAAAACATCACCTCCTTGCCATTGTACATTGTAACAATGACAAGGAGGCGGACAGGAAAGCCAGAAAGGCCTCGAGGAAGGAGCATAAGGAGAAATATCGTGAGGCCTCGGAGGGGAAGAAACGCAACGCTGCCAATAATGAACAAGAAAACGGAGCGCACGGGCCCCAGGGAAGCAAAGTTGGGGGAAGAGAAAGGTGAGGAGGGGGAGAGGATGAGGAGGGGGAGGAGCAGAAGGGGGAGGAGGAAGAGGGAGGGGGATGGGGAAGGGGAGGGACATGGGGGCGAAGGGGAGAGGGGTGAGGGAAGGGGTGAGGAGGGAAAAGGGAGAGGGGGGCGGGGCGGACGAAGGGAGGCGGGAGAAGGGAAAAGGAGAGGCCCCGCCGTCATCACGCCTTGTTCCATTTTCTCATTCCACCATCCTTCCTTCTCCTCCCTTCCGTCTCTGTTCCACTCCTCCGCCTCCTTCTCCTCCTCCTCCTCCGCCCTCCCCCTCGACGCGGCTGACTTCGCCCTCTGGCGATGCCAGGGGCGTCGGACGCAGCCGCGGGGGCACCCCGTCGGCCCGTCGGGCCCCTCTGACTCTGTCGGGCGCGGAGGGGGGGGTAGGTGGCGACGGCTCGAGATCCGCGGGGGCGGGGGGCGGGGGGCAGGGGTTAGGCCGGTGGGGGATCGGGGGGGTGGGGTGGGCGGAAGAGTGGGGAAGAGAAATACGCACCCCCGCCACACGTGTTTTTCTCCTCTGGCCTAGAGAGCTGGAGATACCGCGTCCTGACTAAGTCCAGTCAGGCCCCGATGCGGACCGACTCGCAACTCGTAACTGTCAGCCCGCATGCTGTCTGCGGGCT